CTCGCGAACAGAACCCCAAGCACAGCAAGTTTTGAGCAGCTTTGCTTTCTTGTAATATTGACCATGCTCCAAAACTGCTCGTGGAAGCTGGTCCCCCCGCCGACACCCACAGAGAGCAGGCTTTGAGCAGGCTAGCTTCTGCACACAAGAGACCATGCTCAAAATCTGCTCCAAGACAAGCCGCCAAAGCTCAAGTAAACACTGGAATTTGGTGCACCACGGCTCGCGAACAGAACCACAGAACCCCAAGCAAAGCAACATTTGAGCAGCTTTGCTTTCTTGTAGTTTTGAAGATGCTCCAAAATTGCTCGCGGAGGCTGCTCCCCACCCCCGACACCCACACAGAGCAGGTTTTGAGCAGGCTAGCTTGTGCACCAAAGAAACCATGCTCAAAGGCTGCTCCAAAACCAGCCACAAAAGGCACGAGCACCAAGCAGAGCAACATTTGAGCAGCTTTGATTTCTTGTAATACTGAACATGCTCCAAAACTGCTCGCGGAGCCTCCGACACCCACACAGAGCAGATTTTGAGCAGGCTAGCTTGTGCACTAAAGAAACCATGCTCAAAAGCTGCTCCAAAACAAGCCGTTAAAGGCAAAGCAGACACTGGAATCTGGTTCGCGGGCGAACAGAACTAAGCACAGCAAGTTTTGAGCAGCTTTGCTTTCTTGTAATATTGAACATGCTCCAAAACTGCTCGCGGAAGCTGGTCCCCCGCCGACACCCACAGAGAGCAGGTTTTGAGCAGCTTAGCTTGTGCACACAAGAGACCATGCTCAAAATCTGCTCCAAAACAAGCCGGCAAAGGCCAAATGGACAGTGGAATCTGGTTCACCACGGCTCGCAGACGAACAGAACACACAAGCTAAGCGCCAAACAAAACGCTCTTAGTCCTAGTAGTAGTAGTAGTGGTCTTAGTAGTAGCAGTAGTAGTAGTAGTAGTAGTAATAGTAGTAGTAAGTCGTAGTAGTAGTAGTAGTAGTAGTAGTAGTAGCAGTAGCAGTCTTCTAGTAGTCATGTTCAATATTAAATTAAAACTGCTCAAATGTTGCTTTGCTCGGGTGTTCAAGTCTTTGCTGATGAAATTCCAATTACTTTGTCTTTGCTACTCCTACTACAACTGCTACTTGCGACTGCTAACTACTACTACTACTACTACTACTACTACTACTACTACTACTACTACTACTACTAAAACTACTACTACTACAACTACTACTACTACTACTACTACTACTACTACTACTACTACTACTACTACTACTACTACTACTACTACTACTACTACTACTAACTACTACTACTACAACTACTACTACTACTACTACTAACTACTACTACTGTTACTGCTACTACTACTACTAGCCAACAGGAGCCTCTGAGACTGTGATCCGCTCATGGTCCAACCATGCCAAATGCCAATAGTCAACACAGCCATGTCATGTCACAAGAACGAGCGGCCTCCCTGTCTTGTTCGGACTGTCTGGAGTCTGGCCTGGCCAAACCAGCAAAACCAGTTTTGCCCCAGCACGGCGCATTAGCCCATATGCCCGGCTGTCATCTACCCCCCTGCCGTGGGGTAGGTTGGCCTCAAGGCAAAGCCGAACGCCTCACACCCGGCCAATTGTGTGGGGAGCAACCCAGATGATGGGGCAGGGGTTGACTCCTCAGGTAAGGCGACCTCCGACTGGCACTCAAGCAGAGCAATCATGAATCATGACAATCAATCAAGCTCATTCAAGTCAAGCAAGAATGGATCACAGGAGCTCCTGTTGCCTACTACTACTACTACTACTGCTACTACTACTACTGCTACTACTACTGCTATACCACAACTACTACTACTACTACTGCTGCTGCTACTACTACTACTACTACTACTACTACTACTACTAACTGCTACTACTACTACTACTACTACTAAAACTACTACTAGTACTACTACTACTACTACTACTACTACTACTACTACTACTACTACTACTACTACTACTACTACTACTACTACTACTACTACTACTACTAAACTACTACTACTACTACTACTACTACTACTACTACTACTACTACTACTACTACTACTACTACTACTACTACTAACTACTACTACTAGCTACTACTACTACTACTACTACTACTACTACTACTACTACTACTACTACTACTACTACTACTACTACTACTACTACTACTACTACTACTACTACTACTACTACTACTACTACTACTACTACTTACTACTACGACTACGACTACTACTACTACTACTGACTACCAGTACTACTACTACTACTACTACTACTACTACTACTACTACTACTACTACTACTACTACTACTACTACTACTAATCCCTACTACTGTCTGGATACGACTACGACTACTATTGCAACTACTACTGCTTACGACTACTACGACTAACTATGACTACTCCGACTACGACGACTACCACTACCACTACCACCACCACTGCTACTACTACTACTACTACTCCTACTGCTACTGACTACTACTACTACTACTACTACTACTACTACTACGACTACTACTACTAAGTACTACTACTACTACTACTACTACTACTACTACTGACTACTACTACTACTAACTACTAACTACTACTACTACTACTACTACTACTACTACTACTACTACTACTACTACTACTACTACTACTACTACTACTACTACTACTACTACTGACTACTACCCTATTAAATTAAATTACTAAGTACTACGACGACAACAACTACTAGGCACTACACTGTCTGACTAATTAAAAGTCAACTCCAACACGGCGGCTACAACTAACATCACGGACTACTCGTCAGGAAGATTAAACACATTCCCAACCCACACGCTTCAGCCTGTCCTTGCTGAGACGGCCACACAGGAGCTCTGCCCCTTCGCCATCCGAGGTCCAGGACTGTGCAGCAGGGAAGTTATTTATTACTTGAACTATGACGCACTCCTATGAACTTTATCTACTTGCAATAAATGATTATTCCTGCCTGTATGCGAGGGCGAAGCTCCTCACGATCCCAAAATTTGATTGTCTCCTCGATCTGCTGGACTTTGGCGAGGGCAGTCTGAGCAAGCGTATGAAAAATCTATTAGTACTTGGTCAATGGTGGACAAGACATCAGGAATCACATTCTGCGGCGAACATGACACGGATTGACACATTGACTGAAACAATCATGATTGCCTTCTGTCCGTGAATGTTCCGCAAGTCTCCAAGCCGTCGCTGCACAGTGTAGTCGCTCATGCAGAATTTCAACTTTACCATGCAAATACCATCGGCCACGTCCTGTGACAACGAACCGATTATTGGCAGGATTCATGGTTGAATCTGAATCTCATGTTGAATGATGTCTCCCTGTCCTCTGCCCATCCAACACTGAGCACCTTCTTCTTTTCCAGCAGCTCTCTGTCCTCGTTAAACCTGACTGATTTGGAGCAGGAGGAAATCCAAAAAAAATGACACAAATTACGCAGCAGCCTCAACAGCCTGCCAGGTGGCAAGACGAGGGCAATGGCTTGGATCATCTTGCCGTGCTTCTGTCGGTCGCAAAGTGCCGGCGGAAAGTTCATGGGATCACTTCGTGATGCCAGTTCTGCTTTGCGGCTGAACTCCTTGGATCCAGAACAAAATTCGATTAAGAGATTGGAATGACTTCAGGAAACCAACTAATTTAAAAATAATCTAATTCGATTCATCAATCTGGCAGACCAGACTCCAAACCCTGGGCCCCCACTGGGCAGGACGCCACCTCAATCGACAGCCGGATCAAAGCCGCAGTTGGGCACGAGGACTCTGGGGAGGTCGAGGGCCCACAGGAGGACGAGGTTGAGGCCACAGGCGGGGCAGATGCCAATTCCAAGGACTCTTTGTGCATGTGGGACATCTCGTGGTCTGCAAAGTCCTTCACTTGAAGCACGCCTGCTTGCCCTTTTTTGTAAAGCTTCCACGGCGAGGACGATGCCGTAGTAGACAAGGCACAAAACTTGCAGCCGAGTCCCCAGGCCTCTGTGGCCGGAGACTCCACGAGCCAGCTAAACCTCGCTGCCAGAGCGCTGACAAAAATGCAAGGTACTTCAGATCTCGTGCTCTGGTAAAGGCGATCAAGAAACCTCTTTTGCCAACGATGTCTGTTTTTCAACCATAGGCACCTCAAGCAGCTCCGATGGCATGCCCTTAGATGGTAGCAGCATCGCCGCAGAAACAACAATGACATGGACGCTTATTTTTACCGTCGGCAAGTCGCTTAGGATCCTGGCCATTCTTCCTCATGCACTTGGCAGCATGTGCGCCGTCCGGACTGCGGCATCGCGAGGACGAGGAGGACCCCAAGGACATCGCGAAAGGCCATAAACTTAAACAGAACTTCAACCACAAGACTGACCTACTGTCTGACTGTGTTAACTAATTGAATTCTGCCAGTTTCAGTTGGATATGCCTTTAATTGTTATCATGAGTCTCTTTGAAAGTCAGTCTTAGTAATGTGAATGTGACACTCTGTCAAGGCAGGCCACTCACAATTTCAATTGACCGTAGAACTACACAGCTCGCTCACTTGAAAACGCGGCATCAAGGAATGATGACAATGCTTCTCCCAGCATCCTTGCTCACACTTCAGCCTGAGAGGCAGCCTGGCACATGTGTGTGATTGCAATTTTGCTGTCTGAGGTCGAGGGCAAGAAGTCCAAGAGTCATTGCCATTGCCGCTCTAAGATCTTCTGCACCTGGGGGACCACAAATAACGACACCTCAGGACTGAGTCGAAACACAGTGGGCCTCTTCAGAGGTCAGGTGCTTCCTCCCTGCCACTGACCTGACCAGCAAGCAGTACTAAGAACCAATGAAGCAGGTGACACTACGCCAGTCTGGCCTGCAGACATTACCCCAATAATCTGGCAGCTCCTTCTTGACCAACCCAGCCGCCAATAAGACGTTGCGAAGCACCCTCTCCATGACATTGCTGGAAACTGCATTTCCGAAAGCCTTCCCGACGGCAGACGGTGACAAGGAGGTGGGCGCGGGCGAGGTCAAGAAGGATGTCACCAGACTGTCTGGCAGTCCTGTGATCTAGCCGCAGACTGGACTGGAGTAGACAGTCTTAAACTGTTGGGTGGCTTCTGTGCAATAATCATTGCAAGCCCTGGTCCTGTGAGCCTCCCCAGCTCGTGCAAGACCAGACAGGTGCGACGGCTGGGCACATAGTAGGCTGCCCCTGCATACCTTCCCCGCGAGGACGTTATAGTCGGTGACAGGCCTCGACCAATGGCCTTGTGCTGCCCTGCCGCCACGTCCACAAGTGTGCCTGGGGCCTGGTACTGTTTGCCCAGCTTCTTCTTTGCCTTAGGCAGGCAGGATTATTAATTATGTCACTGACAGTGACAGACCTGACAAAAGAAACGAAGCGGCCACAGTCTCAACTTGTCAGTCAAAGGGACAGCCATGATGTTTCTCTGGAATGTCCGAGTCTGCTTGTCGAGGTCGAGGGCGTGCTGACCGGGCCAAGGCTCACTCTGCACGAAGCCGGCCAGTGGCAGTGCCTTATTTTAGCCACCGTGTTGCCAAGCCATCAGAATCACCACACCTCTCATTTTTCGGGATTCCTGCCTTTATGGGTCGCGGCAGCCACTCGGCCGGGCCCTTGTAGCTCAAGGAGTCCTTGCGCACACCCACTAGGAATAGTCGGCGGCGACGCTGTGGGATGCCGTGCTCTGATGTGTCGAGAATGCCCTGCTGCACGACCTTGAGGATTACTAAAGCCCCTGCCCGTCTGATGGAAGTATTGGATTGGAAGCTACAGTTTCTTGACGACGAGTCCGAGTCCATAGACTCGTCAGAGACCTCAGTGTCTGACGTAACCAGCCTCTCTTAGCAGGTCATGGGAAGTTGTGAGGACGCCAGGGAAACGCTGGGCGAGGCCGAGGACATTTTCGATGACGAAGGCCTCATTTATTTATATATGTCCACATAACCTGCAGCAACTTTTGACAATGCGACACCGTGACACTAGTAACAATGGTCTGATCAGGCACGCGGGGCGATTCGTCCAGGATATGCTCCAGCTGCACCCACCACAGCTTCCCTTGACTGCCCTTTGAACCTCGTCTTGAGTCTGAGTTCACTGACTGTCAGAATGCAAGCTTCACAAATCACGATGACTCGACTGAACCCAAATTGACGCCCAGGAGCCCTTCTTCAAGCCTGCCGAACTGAAGTCCTGACAAGGACTGGTGCCAATGTACAGGTCCAGATCGTCTCCTGCCAGCGAGGGCCTGGAGCACATGTCGTTCGAGGACATGGGCGGGCACCAGGACCTGCGCATTGTCGAAGCCGAGGACGTTATTCTCCTGTGAACAACATCCCTCATTGTCTGAACTTCATCATCGATCTCGGTTGTATGAATGATCTTGAACTTCACGCCCATGAATGCGAGGGCGAGGGCCTCACTTGGAGACTGATTCACGCTAACAGGCTTGAAATTATCAAAGAATCGCCTTCCAAGAACGAGCAGTCAGTTCAAGTTCTGAGCCCTTGACGCCAGTGTCGTAACCACAGCAGTCTGCAGCATATCGTATGGTCGAGGGCACCCTCAGTTGGCCCAAGCAATGCCGTGCAGTTGAACTAAGAATAATTTATGATTAAACGAAGTCTGAGCACAGACAAGGTTCTTAACCAATCCTAGGAGGTCCTGCCGCTGCTTCAAGCCAGCCTGTGCCTTTTCAGCCCAAGGTATTACACGGCGAGCCATCACTCTAAAATCAGAAATTTCGGTCGGCCTTCTGCCGCAGCATGCGCATGGTCTTTCCACCAGGAGTTATCCTCAGGGACACCCACCCCAACACTGAGGCTGCAGGGACAGAACCCCCAATTGCCCTTGGTCCTTCTCGGCTGGGCTTTGGCCACCATGTTTTCTGCAAGCCCAGACACACGAGGGCTGCCAAGCTTTCAATATCCATCAATGATCCGACACGTTGCAGCATGCATCATCAATAAGTCAGCTGGCATCCATTCAATTCAAATTCAATGCTAATCTCGGCACAATCGTACGGCAAAAGCACCACTGTCCTGCCTTGACTGCAGCCACTGCCACAGTGCCCTGCCCAGGAAAGTCTTCGAACATGACTCAATGAGTTGACGTTAAAGTCAGCATCACTCGACTGACTTCATGGCCACAGAATCAGAAAGTGACCCAATGTCAGCGGGCAGGCCTCATCCTCGTTTCAGCAGGGCACAGGCCCTCGTCCTCGTTTCAGGAAAACACTGTTTTGCTGCGCAGCTCGTGGCAAACTGCACATTCAACAAACAATCATCATCTTACCAGCATGCGGCATGTCATGCAACGCTGGTCGCGGTACTACTAGACTAAATTACTAAATCATGCCTGCAGCATCCGAGGGCGAGCAAAAAGCACTTCGGAATGATGCCCCGTGCCTTTCGTGGCATTGCGCAGCGAGGGCAGCGGTGTCCCTGTCCACGGGTATGAAAAGCAAATCGAACATGTGCCAGTGTCAATGACTCTGACAGTGAAACCTGAGACACCCTTTCGACACTGAGATTCAGATAACAAGGGCGAGGACGATTGAATACTAACATGCCCAGAAAGCCATGCCCAGGCTAATCTAACATCATGTTGAACACGAGGGCCCGACATCCGTGTCGCCTTTTGACTGTGGGAAGACACCTGAAGAAAATGAGGTCATGACTCACATGTCGCCATCTCTCAAACACTGAGTGTTGACTCATTCTGTCTGATTCCAGACTCAGCAAACTGCACAGAAAAAACGTGCCAGAGCTAACATCATGTGCGAACGACATCCAGGTCTGAAGAAAATGAAGTCTGGTCGCTACCGATGCGACAAATTACGAGCTGAACGACTGAGGTACTTGCTGGCAGTAGCGGCAAGGCGATAAGTCCTGTGCGCAAGTCAAGCTGGACACAAGAGTCACATGTGATGCAGGACAGTGACATGAATGATCAGTCAACGAGGAAACAGAAGACACTTTTTTCAGCCCGCCAGCGCCGTCACTTGCCCTTCTTCTTGTCCTTCTCCGAGGGCCTTCGCTCCTGAAAGGGGCAGCATGGAAAACCCAAGAACCCTCCGCTCCAAACTCTACGCCCTAAACCCCTTCCAAGCCTTATTCCCCAATGCCTTACATTATTATAATTAGTTGTTAATAATAAATAATCAATCCACTGAGTCCTTGTGCCGCGCCTTTGAGCGCGACCTGCCCCGCGAGGACGGGGGCGGTGGCTCAGGCGAGGCCTCGCGCTGCGGCCTGCGTGGCTGAAACAAGCGAACTCCCCTAAACCTAAACCCCAAAGTATGCCCACTGCCTCGAAGCCGAACCCGGGGTCGTGGGCGTCAGGGGCACTTCCTGTGACAAGGCCAGTAAAAGTAAGTTTAGGGTTTAATAAAATATTGAGGGTTTAGGGGGGTGCGCAACCCTCCGAACTGTTTTGACATCAGCCCTTGCCTGATGCGCTGTGGGAGCCGGCGGGAAGTCCGCCTCGCCCGGCTTCGGCTTGAAGAGGCCGTCGCGAATGCAGCGGGCGAGGACGTTGTGGGCACAGACCCGGAGCGGCTCCACCAGCTCCTGCTGCCTCATCCTGCGACAGCCCCAACCCCTAAATCAAACAGTGAACCCTATACCCTAGCCCTGAACTTAAAGCTAAAGGTCCAGAATCAAATATTTCTAATAAATCAATGCAGAGGCTCGCCAAGAGGATCTCCTGCAGCCTCGGCCATGCAGAGCCGAGGGCGAGGGCGGTGACGTCGACGACCATCAGGCACTGAAGGATCAAGCCGCGCAGAGCTGGGAAATTCTTCATCCAGCGATAAAGCCTTGGATAGGCTGGACATAACATGTATCATTATAATCTATTTGAAAAAAAAGCTACTACAGACAGGGCTTGGGGCCATGGAACTCTGCATCCCCGCCTCTCTGCGTGAACCGCGAGAGCACCATCGGGGCCGAATCGAGCAGGTCTTTTAAAATTGCCTCGACGTTCAGCGCCGACTTGGCGAACTGGGCTTCGTAGAGGAGTTGGTCGCCACGTAGAGTCGAGGACGCCTGAAGCAGACTACTGTAAATACGTTGCTGTTGCTGCTGTGTTGCTGTTGCTGTTGCCGAGTCATTGTCATTGCGGCTGCTACTGGTGTCGTTGTTGCTCTTGTCGTCACTGTCATTGTTGATGTTGTCGTCGGGCTTGCGGTTTAGGGCTTCAGGCTTTAAATTGAGGCTGAGGGTCTAATGTTTTTTAGGGTCTCGTGCTTACGTAGGGGTAATCAATTAAAGGTTTGGGTCCGGGTTTGGGATTTAATTTAAAAAGTTGTCTGTAGGGTCCCGGGTTGAGTCATTGCCAAGTTGCGGTCGACGCACTCGAGGCCGGGTACATCCGGATTGGCTCCGGCTCATTCGGCAGCGGAGCGCGCGAGCCCAAGTGCATCGGGTTGAAAGCAGCAGCGGCCGGCCTGATACCAACCTTAACTGCGTGTAGCTTGATGCAACCAAGACCACCGACTCAGCTGAAAGGCTAAGGGAGGCTTGTTGAAACCCTAAAATTAAAAGCCACGCTCACAACAATGGTGTTAAATGGATAAGTAGTGGCCGACGCCAGCGAGGGCGTTGTGAAGCACGGGGAGCACGGGGACGGTCTGGGCAGGCTTGCTGGCGCGGGTGGTCTGGCACTGGGCAGGCTTGCTGGCGCGGGTGGTCTGGCACTGGGCAGGGGTGCTGATGTCTCAGCCGCTTTGGCAGGCGCGGGCACTGGCGGCACCGGCGTGGGCACTGGCGGCACAGGCACGGGCACTGGCGGCGCTTTGGCAGGCGTGGGCACTGGTGGCACTGGCTTAGGCGTGGAGGGCGAGGTCTCCGGCACTGGCGGCACTGGCGAGGGCGAGGTCGGCACTGGCTTAGGCGTGGAGGGCGTGGTCTCGGGCACTGGCGGCACTGGCTTAGGCGTGGAGGGCGAGGTCGCCGGTTCAACCTTGGGCGACGATGCTGGCGGCCGTGGCGGCACCGTTTTAGGGCCAGGCTGGGAGGGCGAAGCCGAAGCCGAGGACGGATTCCTGTAGTTTGCGCGCTCCTCCTGGGGGAGCATAACAGACGAGCAAACGTCAGATCAGCCTAAACCCTAAACCAACCTACCCAATTAAAGCAGAAGGCCTTCGGCTTCATGTTCTTCTTCCGCTTCGCGTAAGCGCCTTTGCCACGGAGCCATCTGTTCTTGCCCTCCCCTTTGGCGGGAGGGCGCGAGGGCGAACTCTGGCTCCAGCCTGGGTCTTCCCATTCATCCCAGTCATCCCAGCCGCCCCACTGCCACCAGTCCTCACCGCCTTGATCAGCCATGGCTAGCCGAGGGAGAAAGTCTAAGTGACCACAGTCCTAAGGTAAGTCTGGAACCTATCAGTCAATATTATTATGATGTGTTCCTCAGCTTCATGATCGTCGAATTTCTAAGCATTGTTTTAGATGCGGACTGGACCGGAAAGTTAAAGGGTTTGGGGTGCAGGGTCCTTTTTGAATTGGCAGTACCGAGGACGATGTGAGGCTTCGCATGCTAGTGTCACCGACAAGCGAATTTTCGAGCACTCAGCTGAGGTCCGACATCGCTTGCGAAATATTGAAAGCACATGATTCGATCATGAAGACTGACAATGGCGCATGCAGCCCAACTGGTCCTGGGCAGCAGCGAAGCGATGGCGTGAACGACGGCGTCTCCCAGAGTACCTGGTTCAGAATGGTGTCAGTCAGTCATTAAATTAATAATAATGGTCGAACTGGCAATTTCAATGCAATCCAATGGTCAGTCAAAAAGTGTGCTGCTGTCTAACCCCCCTGACTGAGAGATGCACCGAGGCGTAGGTGACAGAAGACCAAAAGCCTGGCAGGGCCGCAAGGAAACAAGTGCAGTCAATGACATGCTCACATCATTATGCAGTCACCAAGCACGTTCCACACCTTTTTCGTCATTCCCGGCCGGTAGTAGACAGGTTCAGCCGACAGCTGTTGAACTTCCGTCGTGAGGTCGAGGGCGATTAAGACTAGATGTCTTGTCGGGGGCGAATGAAAACTACAGGACACTGAGCTCTTTGTCTTAATCTAAGTTATAATTTAACACAAAAAGACTGGCCCTGAAATCACAACGGAAGAGCTGCCAGAGGAACTGTTCCCGGCAATTTCGAACCGGCAACTTATAGGATGCCCAGTAACCTAGGAATAAAATTCAACAAGGGCTCCGTTTCGAAGGTAGTGGGTAAATTTACCTAGGATTAATTTATTAATGGTACTACTACTAAGACTACTGGGCATCCTATCATGCCGGTGGCTTAACCACCTCGAAATCCTCATCATCGTCGTCTCCGCCAGGTGGCTCGTAGTACGAGGGCGGATCAAGGTCGTCATCGTCCACGAGCACCAGAGAATACGACATCATCGACATTGACATCGTCGACGAGGCCGCAGTGGCATCACGAGGACTCGGAGGCTGAGGAGATGGCATGGGCTGTGGATCGCGGTCGCGGGCGGCGGGACCGGGAGCGGGAGCGGGAGCGCCGCCGGGACGAGGGCGAGGCCGTGTGTGGCTGTCTCCTGGACATTCGGGTTCCTTAGGCTAGAGGTCCAGGTTGTTTAAATATTTTGAATGTTATAAATTAAGTGGCTACAATGGACCGGGGTTAATTTAATTTATTAATGGTGCCGCCGAGTCGCGCTCGTTGCCGACCTCGTTCATCGCGGTCCGGCAGTGCCACGTCAGGATTGCAGAAGGATTCCTCCACGCAGAATCCTTCAGGCGAGATCGAGGTCGAGGACGCAAAAACTTAGAGCCTAGGCTTCTGATTATGAGAAATACAAGTTGAAAAGAAAGCCGGGCCTTCTGCTTTTGCGACGCCCAGGCCCACGACTGATACAGTCGAGCTTGCTGCAGAGCGATCGTATTTATTTCCCCCAATTTGCTCAAGCCATCGGGGCCGAGGGCGATGAGGGATGCCACGACCTGATCAGGGTTTTAGTAGTTTGAGTTTAGGGTTGAGGATTTGAGAGAAACAGAGTAGGGTTAGGGTAGTTTACTTAAGGGTCCGATGCAAACAAGCAGCGCTCCACGTCTTGGAGTCCACCTTCAGCTCCGTCAGGGTTTCCACGACCCATGGAGCTGCTGTGGTGACGCTCCTCTTGACCTTAAGAGCAAAACCATTACAACGAGGCAATGGGTCCTTATTATTATTTAGATCAAAAAATTACTTATTATTAAATGCAGATGAGAAGCGAGCTCTTGGGCCGAGGGCGGCTCAGACGCAGAGGCAGCCGGGGGCGAAGGCGCCGGGGGCGAAGGCGAGGGCGTGGGCGGAGGCGGCACTGGAAAGTACCAGAAGAAGCCGCTGCAAACGTCCTTGAAAGCCTCCTGGCACATTTTGCACAACCGGCTGGTTGCCGAGAGCCTCGCCGGAACCTCCGGGTCGGACATAAGTCCTTCCCGGCTAGGCAGATAAAGCCGCAGATCGAACATGCACGCGAGGGCGAGGGCGATGGACGCGGACCTGTGCCTCCCAGCGGAACCTTACTGGTTTAGGGAACAGGGTCCCCGGGTTTAAGGTTCATGGCTAGGGTTACTCATGAATATTAATAATAACATTTAATAACTGTTTTAACAAAGCCAAGTTGCAGATGACCTGGAAGAGCACAGAAACCTGCCTGCAGGACTCAGGCAGCACCATGCTGATGAGCTGCGCAAGGCAGTAACGCAGCGTCCGTCGCCCATTCTCCGTGTCGAGGATCTGCGTGGGCGTATCGCCGTCTCCTAAGTTCAGGATTCCTCTTCAAGCGGCTAAGCCCTGTCTAAGCCCTGTAAAGCCCAAAGATTACTGCAATGCAGGTCAGGAGCGGGCCTCGTCCCTCGGCCAAAAGATTACTGCAATGCAGGTCAGGAGCGGGCCTCGTCCCTCGGCCAAAGCGAGGGCGCGCGGACGTCCACGGTGACGTGGACGCTTCTAGGGTACCAGCTCTTGAGCCTCCCCACCATGCCGTCCCTGCCATAGAAGCCATCACCTGGGTTATTCCAACGACTTGAAAATTTAATTTGTCGTTATAATAATATTATAATTTAACGACCCAACTGTCTTAGGTCAATAAGTCCTGCATGCATCCTGGTGGCCTCTGCCGTTGTCATACCACGCCTCGGCCCCCCAAGCCATTACGATCAAGTCCAGGGCGAGCAAAACCTCCCTCAGTCGGCTGTGTGCCGCCTGGAAGGCCGGGGGCAACTGGCCCGTCGAGGGCGCAGAGGCGGACGAAGACGCCATGGGAATTTAAAAGGGCCAAAACTCAACCCTATCAGCCAAGCTAAGCCGCAAAGCCTAAGCTGAGCCTTAAGCAATCCTAAAGATTGACGTTTAAGCCTAAGTCGAAGCTAAGCCTTGGTTAAAGCGGCTAAGCCCAGCCAAGCCCTGCCAGCTGTCAAAGCATGTGACTCGTGTCGTGTATAGTCTTAGTAGTGAACACTATTAAATGTCATTGCACATGGCTGGCATGTCGAGGGCCCTGTCACTCTTGAACTGAAAACACCGACGGATGAATGATGTCAAGCTCAAGCCAAACTTGCAATGCAACCGACAGGCAATGACTTGCAAGCGACGGTGATACAGTCAGTGCCTGGGCATGCAGAAACCAACTTAGCAATTGTGTCAGCCGCACGTTCGGGCGAGGACGGTGACGGCGTCGCAACAATGGCCAAGGCCTCGTGTCAAAGTCAGATAGTTCCACTTCCAGCTGCAGACACTCCCCAAAAGCGGGTAAGTCAAAAGTGATGCGACTGGGCTCCAAGCCCACCAGTGCGCAGTTTGACCTGGGCAGTCAGGTGTGGCTGGTAGAGCAAGGCGACACACCACTTCGCAAGGCTTTGGGCTCCAAGCCCAGAAGCGCAAAGCCATCTGCAGCTTTTCACCTGAATCAGGGTTTAGTTGGAGGCTCGCGTGTCATCGTTGATGAGTTTACGAAGTTGTCAACAAGTCGGTACGAGGACGATAGGCGAGAGGACCCCTAATTTATTATTGATTGAAAAGGCTTCCCATGGTCGAGTCGTGATTCTACGGCTCAAAGATCAACCTCGTAATTTCAAAGACTCAAGGTCTGAAATGGAAAACCCAAGCAAATTGACCCAACGAGGGCGAGAGCACAGAGCTGAGGCCCTGACCCTGTGTCGGGCAAGGGGTTTTGGCCGTGATTAATCCTTCACCCTTGTTGATTATCTGAATAATTAAATAAAACCACACCCGAATAATCCTACCAAAATCACCCCTGCCCTTTAAAAACCTATTCTGAATTGGGGGTAAGGCTCCGAAAGATCCCTGACCCGAAACCTAGGTGCTTAAGCCCTTAGGGGCTTAGGGCCAGGGAGGTGGAGTAGTCTAATAACCCACGGCGCAGGTCGACACAGGTTTAAGTTTCAGGGATTTAGGGTTCGGGGTTTTAGGTTTAGGGGTTTTAAAGGGTTCAGGGGATTTAAGGTTCATGGTTTCAGGTTTTAGGGGTTTAGGGTTCAGGGTAAAAACTTAAAGTTTAGGCGTTATGAGCGCTAAGCCACAGCACAGGTTACCCCAAACGCTACCGTGAAGCCCAAAGCCAAGCCCTGCCCAAAAACCCTGAACAGCTAAAGCCCAGACTACATCTGAGGCGCTAAGCACTACCTGGCCTAGACCGGAAGTAACCCGAGCCTAAACCCTCAACCCCCTATTATTATTATTATTATTATTAAATTTACTAAACCCTAAACCCCTAAACCCTAAATCTAGACCCCAAGCCTACCTAAGACCTGTATCGGTCTCGACCTGCATCGGTCCTCAGGTTACCTAGACCCCAAACCGACCTAAGCCTAAGACCTGTATCGGTCTCGACCTGCATCGGTCGTCAAATACCTAGACCTAGACCCGAAGCTACGTAAGACCTGTATCGGTCTCGACCTGCATCGGTCGTCTCCAATCTAATA